AGCAGGACTTCATTCTGCAGCTGCCTCACAGGAGAGGCTCACAGCCCTGGAACAAGGTCTCACCCCAAGTGGTGAATAGAAATTTGCCCTGATTCCTTGTTTTTTTTTGTGTTGCTTTCTGTTTTATGAAGGCATAGCCATACAGTCCTTAACTGCCTGTGTTTTCAACTAATAAGATTAGAAGCTAAACAGAAGCAGGATAAATGGTGGATTATGACCATTTGGTAGTTCCTGCAGGAATCCTCATTGTTGTCTGTGTGGTTTCACTGCTGTGAAAACTAGATGGGGTCAGGCAAGCTGGACCTTCTGTATCTGTGAGCAGGAATCAGCCAGTCAGGGTTTTGCTGCTGCTCTGAGGACAGACTAAACCACATGCAGCTCTGCCTGTGACTTGATCAGAGCTGAGGGTTGTCTTTTTGGATTGGCAGAAAGCATGAGATGGCTTCTTGGGTTGGAGCTGCTTGTGGCAACAGCTGCGTTTTCATCTTTCACTTTGGGTTTATCAGTACTGATGTTCTGATGCGGAATCACTTCTTGTTCCATGCTGGTCCTTCCAGCATGGAGAGCTGGGGCTGCATTGGGGCTGAAGCTGACTCACCAGACACCTGCCCATGCTGTGCCAGAGTGGTTTTGGTTACAGCCTGGACACTGAGGACTTCCCACTCCTCTAATCTGTGTGACAGAAAAGTGTCCTAACTTCCGTAATGTAATCTGTCCTGGAGCAGTCTCTGGGTGCTGTGGGGAGAGTGATCCGCTGCCTGTAGGTACTTTGGTGCTATGTACCATGGGAGATGTTTCTCCTGGGGTCCCTCTGTTTCTTCCACAAAGGTGTCCCTGTGCCCACAGCTCTCCTGTCCCTGGCCATATCTGTGCAGGTCACATTACTTGTGTGCAGAGGGGCCCAAACAGCTTCAGACTGAGGGTCCCACACTGCTGGTGCTGACTGTGCCCTGCAGTGGTACCTGTGCTGTGCCAGGAGACAGGAATGAACCATTATGGAACTCCTCACAGAGGATAAAGCTGTAGTTATCTAGCTTTACATACTCTGTCAGGAGCTCCAGCCCTCTCTTACCCAGAAAGAGATGTGCTTTGGTTTTGGATGGCAGCCCTCGTGTTTGGCTGAGCTCTCCTCACAGCCCCACGGTGTGGCTGGGGCTGATGTGCTCTGCTCCTCCTGCTTCCTGCATCCTCTCTGTACAACAGCATCTCTTGACCCCCACAATTTCAGCACTTCCTTGGTGCCTGCCCTTGCCCCCTGCTCCCAGGGCAGCCCTCGGAGCAGAGCAGAGCCCTGCAATGTGCTGGGGCTCCTGCTGGGGACTGGGACGAGAGCTGCTAAGAGTTACTTTTTGCTCAGCTGTAATTAAGTGTTCACAGCAGCAAATCCCTATACTGTTGCTATACTTAACATGCCAAACTCAATTATATTGAGAGGAGAGTTTAAAAACAGGCTTTTGTCTAATGTACAGTATTTTGGCATCAATTAGCTCCAAGTTTTATAATTTTCCCCAAGGTGAACATGAGAAGGATCAGTCATGCATGAGAAACCGTTCCATCTGAGAGAGGAGGAAGGCAGCTCCCTAGCAAGGACAGAAGGGTTTGCAGGTTCTGTAGGTCATGTTCTTTGTTGCCACTTTGCTTGAATGCCCATCTGTATTTGATATCTTTGAGAAATACCTGCTGTGTGTAAAAAGTGCTTGCAGAGCAGTTCATGAGGTCTCTGGGAACAAGCAGTGGCACAGCCCCTCTGCCCATTTCTTTCCCAGAGACCATGGCAGGGCACAGGACACCCTTAAGGCCTCTGTGGTTGTGCTGGCCTGGGCTGGTGCTGAGCAGGTAGCCAGGGGGAGCTGTGCTTTTGGATGACTTTTCTCCTTTGTCCTGTCTGAGCAGATCCTATGCTCTCCCCAGTAAAATGAAGGGCACTGCAGCCTGGTGCCCTGGTGAGGTTCCAGCACAGGGTCACTGAACTGCCTGGCTGTTTGATCCCTGGCACCTCTTTCCTTCTTGCCCTTCCATATGGGGTTGCAGGATGCTGTTACACTCCAGTATGACAGGGCTGGTGCATCTCTGGGACGTGTGGTGCTTTTCTTGGTGTTTAATGTACATGTGACCCTCCAGAACAAGGGTGGGAGTGTTTGTGTGACCAGACCCTTCCTTGATGTCCCTCAGTGCTGTGATCTTGGGTTCCACGCCAGCCTCGCTCGGACATTCAGGACATACCTGTCTGCTGAGTACAACCTGGAGACCTCCCGCCATGAGGGCCTGGACATCATTGAGAATGCTGTGGACAACCTGGATGCACGGAGCGACAAGCACACCATCATGGACATGTGCAACCAGGTCTTCTGCCCACCGCTGAAGTTCGAGTTCCAGCCTCACATGGGGGATGAGGTAATGTACTCACCTGAGGGGCTGCAGAGCTGCCTTGCAGCCTGGCCTGGCTTCCTCCTCTGCTTAACCATCACTCTGACGTGATTTCTGACTCTTCTCCCTCTGTGCTGCCTTCACACAATGCTTAATGAGACTCTTGGCTCATTAGGGCTGCTCCTTTCACTGTGCCACTTGCTCTGTATCTCTCCCAATTAGGAAGCCTGTGGTTTGATTCTGGGCTGAACTGCCCACCAGATTTGTAAAGTGGAGCTTTGATTTACCTGCTGTAATTGGAACACTTCAGAGTACAGCTTTCAAATGCTGGGTAGGAAGTGCTCTGTGCTGGCCTGGATCCAGGGCACTGCTGATTAGAAACTGGGTGACACAGCCTTGCTGGAGGCTGTGAGGAGCTTGTGAATGCTGGAGAGAATCATTTAGGCATTTCAATGTCTTATGTCTGGCCAGTGCATGACCCATGGACTGCTCCCCTGTTTCTCTGTCCCAGGTGTGTCAGGTCAGTGCCCAGCAGCCTGTGCAGACCGAGCTGCTGATGCGGTACCACCAGCTCCAGTCACGACTCGCCACCCTCAAGATTGAGAACGAAGAGGTGAGGAGGCATTTGTGTCTGGTGTTGGGCCCTGTAGGCCGTGTTGCTGGGCCTCTTGCCCGTTGTGCCTGGTGTGTCCTGGTGTGCTCAGAGCTCCCGCTGCCTGCAGCCAGGGAAGGGCATGCCCAGCGCTTGGGAGCTGCCTGTTGGCCAGTTGTTTTGGCTCAAGATGTTTCACTTTCCCAGTCTGCTTCAAAACCATGCTGGCTTCTGTTTCCAACAGGTGCGGAAGACGCTGGATGCCACGATGCAGACTTTGCAGGACATGCTGACGGTGGAAGATTTTGATGTTTCAGACGCCTTCCAGCATAGCCGCTCCACTGAGTCGGTCAAGTCAGCTGCATCAGAGACCTACATGAGTAAAATAAACATTGCCAAGAGGAGAGCCAACCAGCAGGAAACTGAAATGTTCTATTTTACAGTGAGTCTCATCCTGTGCGATACCGGACACAAAGCATTAATTGCTCGGGCCGAGTCCCATTTTAAGTGCTCATTAGTGAAGAGCAAGAACCAATTCTGTCTCTTTAAGGATTTGTCTCCTGTCTGATTTGGGGTTGGAATGCATTTCTCAGTGGCAGGTTGGTGCACAGAGACTGACAATCCAGTGTCTGCCTTGCTTTTCTCTTTGGAGGAGCTGGAGCAGCCAGTTGTGACTGAAAACTGTCAGAACTCAGCAGGAGGGCTCAGAGCAGGGCAGCAGCCTCTGCCAGCCCCGCAGGGCAGCCCCGTGGCTCTTCCTGGAGGCCCTTGCGAGTTTAAACCATCAGCCAAGCCTTCCTTCTCTGGGTTGCACAGCTAAGATCTGCCCTTGGCCCATGGATGAGCTACTGGGCCATTTTTATCTCACGGAGGGTGTGGGAGGCAGCTCTGCAGGGCTGTGGTGTGCGTGGGGTCTGGGCCGCTGGGCCCTGCCTGGCCTGCAGCCTCGGCCCTTCGCTCCCAGGCAGGGCTCAGGTTCTCTGAAACGGGCTTGAAATGTGGGTGCTGAGCCATCAGATCAGCAGGGGGGGCCCTCTCGTGAGCATGGTTGGTAGGCTTCGGTTGGTAGCATATTACATGTGCATAGAAAAGTTTCTGCTTTCTCTTTACAGTGTTGTTATTCCGATTTGAGGCAGGGGGGAGGGGGAAGAGAACTTTTGAGTTGTGCTTGGGCTTTTATTTACGCTTTCTGCAATAATGTAGCTTTTCTCTGCCTTTCATTTTCCATCTCCTGTCTCCCTCACTCCTCTTATCTGTGAAATCGCTTGCTCTTGACTGCTGTGGGGTGCCGTGGCAATGCAAGGAGGGGCTGTGCTGGCCGCGGTGCCCCCGGGTGCACAGGGCGTCCGAGGGTCCTGCCCTGGAAGGGCTGGCGGTTCTGGCTCTGCAGCGCTTGTTTGCACAAAGGCAAAGCGGCTGCTGGGGGAGGGAAAGCCTCTCATTTTCCTGGCCATTCTCAGAGGCCTGAGGAAAGAAAGCTTCTTTGAACTCTTTTCTTTGGAGCTCCTTGCATTCCCAGGCAGGAGGTGCAGCACCAAGGAGACGGGGCCAATAAAATCAGGGCTGTGGCTGGAGCAGTGTGATCAGAGCCCGCTCAGCCCTGCGGCGCAGCCGGGTTTGCTGGAGCCTGCCGAGCCCCTCCAGCAGCCCCTGGGCAGACCTGCACAGCAAGTACTGTGTCTGCCCAGAGTCTTAACACACCTCGTTTGTTTTATTTTTTCAATTCCAGAAATTTAAAGAGTATCTGAATGGCAGTAATCTTATCACGAAGCTCCAGGCTAAACATGACTTGCTGAAGCAGACTCTTGGAGAAGGTGAGTGGTGGGGACAGGTCCAGGGAGGAAACTCCTGTTGCATGAGGTGGTTTTAAACCACATGTCACCTTTCGGTCTTCCCTGCTGGGTTTTCCTGAGGAACTGATGGCTTCTGTGGCTGGCTGCTACTGCCAGGTTTAACCAGTAACATGCAAAATCATTATTTCCCTGGAATGTTACTCTTCTTCCACCTTTCTTTGGGAGTGCACATAGAGAAATTTGAACCTTTCATGCCAAAGAGCTGTGGTACTTCTGCAGCAGCAAAGAGATTCCCACCCACCCCAACCCTCTGCCTGTTTCCTTTCTCTCCCTTTTAGTGCAGCCCTGAACACAGGTGCTGTCCTTGATGCTGGGGGCCTGTGTTACAGATTTGCCAGCAGGCTTGTTGGTTTCATAGGCCCCTTGGCTGCAGGTTTTTGACTTGCTCTAAACCAGAACTGCAAAATGATCCTTGTTTTTCAATACAACTTTTCCGTAGCAGGCTTTTATTAGTCCAGATTACTTCAGAAGTTTGGTTTAGAGCATATATGAACAGGCTTCATGCAACAGAGGGGACAGTAAATTCTGAGGGAGGCAGGAGTGTACATCTGTGTCTGGAATCTGCCACTGCTGGGGTAGTGATGTGCAGCCATGTCCCTGGAAGATTTTAGCTTCTTTAAAGGGTTTTTTTAAAATCACATTGTTGCCAATGTAAAGAAGATGGAGATGAGTTAGTGTCCTGATTTTCCAGCTGGAGAGAGTATATTTAAATTCAAATACACAAATGGTCCATGTCTCAGTGTATCAAAAAAAAAAAGGTTTTTGTTGGCTATTTGGCCAAACATATATTCTCTGCCAAATTTATTTAGCCTTAAAATCCACTTTCTAGTTAGATCCTGTGCTGTGCTCCACTCATTGAACACTGAGCCAAGCCGAGGCACAAAGTGTGAGCACGAGGGAGGCTGCAGGGCTAGATCTGTGGGGCTTCTATGGATTGGTGTGAGAAGTGATGGTGAAGATTAATTTGATCACCATCCTAGTCTGTCACACGAGAGCCAAACTAATGCTAGATGTGGGAGGAGTGCAGGGCCGGGCATCTTGATTCTCTGGAACTGTGCAAAAGCAGCTATGGAAGATTTTCATATGAAAACTCTCTGAATTTCTCCCAGGCCATGGGATCATCCTGCTATGTAGGCGTTCAGCAAATATTTAGACCTGAAATGCCAAATGCTGCGTTTCAGCATGAGCTGATTCTCATTAGGAAGAAGTCTGGCTTTGCAAAATATTGTATTTTTTTTTTCTTTTTCAGTGAGGAATTGGCTGCAAGCTTACTTTCTGCATGTGCCAAGGGAGAGCAGGAAGGAGGCATGTGTAGCCAAATGCTCCCTTTTATGTGTCTTAGAAAAAGGAGGAATAAATCAGCTTTCCTGGCCTTGGAGAAAGGCACAAACAGCATGTGAAATGAGTTTAGTTTTTTTTCAGTGGGTTGACAAATACTTAAAAAAATGAACAGATCTTATCAGTGGTGATATGCTGCCATTCATATGAAATCCAAGCACTGAAAATGCATGAAGGGAATGAGAATATTGACAGCCAGATCAGAGTCTGCCTGATGGTGATTAGATGGGCTGTAATCTCCCAGGAAAAGCCAAGGAACTGTGCACTCTGCTGCACTCAGGTGCTTAGTGGTCCTCCAAGAGGCAGTGAGATAACCTCAGCAGCTTCCCTGGGGACTCCAGCCCTTATCAGGCTGCAGCTTCCCTGCTTGGGGTTGGCCAATCCCAGCTAGTGTGAATGAGCATTTCCTGCAGGGGTCCTGCAGTGCCTCTGGTTATTGATGAGATGGGCTTCATAGTGCAAATAAGCCTCTCCTATCAGGAACTGAAGATGCTTTCCCTCTCTTGTGGCTGAGTCTGGGCATTCTAATGTGCCTTTGAGTGGCAGGGGTTTGTACAGCAGCCAGCTCAGCAGCTCCCCACCCCGCGGGGCCCGTGGGTACATTCAGAACCCATTAACCCAGGGTGTTCAGAACCAGGAGGTGCGTTTGACTAAACGGTGACTAATGTGGAGAGATGATAGAATCTTGTGTTTCTTCATAGGTGAAAGAGCCGAATGCGGAACAACCAGGTGAGCAGTTTCTCCCACTTTATCTCCTTTTGGGAAGGGCTGGCTCTAGGAGGAGGAGGGTGGCTGTGGGAAGGGTGGTTGGCTTTGCTACTGATTCAGCTTGGTGGGGTTCAGGTTAAACCATCTCCATCCACCCTGTGCTGGCGGGCTGGCAGCCCCAGGCTCCCCACATCGCTGCCCTGCTTCTCGGCTGCATTGCTTGGAGTGGATTAATTAGGGTGATGACAAACAGGCCCTTGGTTTTGCTGCAGTGTGATCTCCAGCTGACTGGTTTTGAGGTGCCTGGAAGTGCTGTGTCAGCATGGTGTGGTGCCTTGTAGTTTAGCTGAGCTTGGGTTGTGTTCAGACAGTGCCACACAGGGATGTCCACCCGGTCCTACCACCCTGTTCACTTGAGGACTCTGATACTTCCCTGAAAGCCTCTCCCAGCTCTGCTCTCCTTGCTTGGCAGTGCAGAGACTTCCAGCCTCTCCAGCAGGAGATGGTGGTGGGAGGGAATGACACAGGGAGGAGTCTTTGATCTGTGTCCAGTCTGTAAAGCATCTCCACACAGCCCTGGTGGCTTTCTGCACATGTACTGGTTTTCTAACAGTAAGACACCAGCCAGCAACGCCTCCAGACTTCCCCCAGAACATGTCCAAACTCTCTCTGTGTTATCCTTTTGCAATCCTATTTCAGTGTTTAATAAAATTTGCAATACCAGCAAAACCTCCTGCGTTCCCTGTTAGAAGTGCTGCAGCAGATGGTGAAGCCTGGGCTGCCTTTCCAGGCAGGAAGAGGCTGCCCTCACAGAGTTGGGGGGGTGCCTGGCTCTCTCCTTCTGGCTGGAGGGGACCATGCTGCTGGCACCAGGGCCAGGCATGCCCAGGGCTGTGCTGCAGGGTGCTGAGGTGCCACCAGGACACAGAGGGGCTTCCCTGCCCTACAGGAGAGCACAGGATGGCAGTGAGTGCCTCAGCACCGAGGTGCTCTGGAGCAGGCAGACAGCCTGCAAGGCCAGCTCTGGCCCCTGGGATGAGCTGGATGGGGAGAGCACATCCCCATGGCTGCCTAAAACCACAGGGAGAACTTGCAGTGGGGAGCCTTGTGTGTCTAGAGTGGGTGACCGTGGGGTGGTGGATTTGCAGGCCAAAACCATCAGAGGCACGAGTAGCAGCCTCCTACATGAGAGTGAAGGCACAGCTCCCTGCTGCTCCTGTTTGCTGTTTCAGCAGTTGCTTTTCCTTCACAAACAGAAACAAACAAGAGGCTGTCTCTTCCCTGTGCCAGGCAGGGCTGAATGTGTAGGCAGGATAACCTTCCCACCAGAGAGATGAGGAGGCCAGGTTGTCCCAGCCAGGGCATCCCTGGGGAGAGGAGATGACAGGGCAGCAAATAGCACGTGGCTGCTCAGCTGAGAGTCAGGTGGCATGGCAGTGATTCCTGCTCCTCAGCTACCAGTTGAAGGAGTGGTTACAAACTATAGAAGTGTAGAGTCAAATTGCTTCAATAAAGATGTGATAAAGGACCCAGCAGATCACAATTGTCATCTTTGCTTCTGTGTAAATTGTACATGTTTATTTGCCTCTGCTTTGGGAGAACTTTTGCATGAAGGCTCCTAGCACTCTTTTTTTGTTTGCAGTTGTGATCTCTTTGCAGGCATCAGTATAGCCTGGAGGTAGAGGACAACTTAGTCTGGTTATATCAAGGTATGAGTTGAGCTCTTCAGATGCTCTTGGTGCTTTTTCAGGCTGATGGAGTGCTGAACTGGTGGAGGTAGGAGGAAGGTGTTAAAAGTCCTACTGTGCACCAACACCTTTGTTTTACTTCTAAGATGTCATCCCTGGTGCTAGCACAAACACTGAGCAGTAGTTTTGGTATCTGGCATCTCAGAAAGGGAGAACTGTATCTGCAGATGGTGGGTACCAAAGGCAGTTATGACCAGCTGAGATCAGCAGAATTTTTACTCTCTGGCTTCAATGAAGTAAGTTCCTCATGAAGAGTATTCCTGATCACCTGTTTTTCATTGAAGCTGTGGTTGTTGGTATAGTTACTGCTCTGTCACTGTCTGGTATCTGAAGATGACTTTTTTACTGTACAAACTAGGAGTCTTCAAGAAACCTGTAACAACAGGTAGTTAGACTGTGGTGTGTGGCTGCAGCTGAGGTTAGAGTCTGCCTGATGGGGAAATACCGGAAGATTATGGGGATGGAAAGTAATGGCCAGGCTGGCTTATTGCTGTTAAAGGTTTCTATTATCAAGATTAATCTGGATTTATTGCTTAAATAAAGGCTGCAGTCTTGACCTTGACTTGAAGTTCCATGTGTAGCGTATGGTGAACAGCTCCAGCTCCGCTCTGGCTGGGAGTGGGGCCTCTGCTCCAGAACTAGTTAGCCCAGGTAGTGCTGGGGTAGCCCCAGGCTGCTGGATAAGGGCTTTGGAGTCAGTGGAGGGCAGGTCCCTGGAGCTGTGGGCACTGGATGTGGTGTGGAGGCGCAGAGCCGCGCCCCTGGTGGAGCCGCGTCCGTGGGGCAGGGACACTGGAGTGTGTGGAGCCCTGTATTGAGTCCTCACAGAGGGATTTTTCTGTTTGGTTTATTTTTTATTCTTGGTCATAACCTTTGAGATCTCACCCTGTCATTGCATTTATGTTGGTGTTTTGTTGATTTCTTTTGTTCCATTTTCTCCCAGGCCCCCATGTCTTCCCCCTAAGCCACAGAAAATGAGGAGACCTAGGCCTCTCTCAGTCTATAATCATAAACTCTTTAACGGGAATATGGAAACGTTCATTAAGGTACTCATTGGCTGACAGTAAGAGTTTATGAACGCTGTGAATGTAATGGTGGCTTTCCTGTCCTAACTGGCTGCTTTCCTTCCTCACTGGGGTCTCTCTGGCCTGCCCTGCACCCAGTCTACGTGGCCAGTGCACACTCTGCCTCGGTGACCATTTCTCTCCATAGCTGTCCTGGTGTCTTCCTTGTGTTACCCATCCTGCCACCACCTGCATGTCCTAGGGTTAGGGCACTGGTGAGGGCCCTCATGGCTGGTGGCCATTGGCCATGCTGCCCGGCTGTGGGGCTTGAGGTCCTCTTGGCTGAGTGTCCCTGTCATCCAGTGCTCTTCCACCCATCCCAGAAGGGAAGATCAGACAGCAGGGATAACCCTGGCACCCTCCAAGGATCAACAAATCCCCCACCTTCCCTTTTTCCAGACGTTTGTCTTCCCCATGTCTGAGGGGGGAGGCAAAATGACTCATAAGCTCCTGGAAAGCATCTCCCAGTTTTAAGGACTGGTAGCCTTGAACTGGGGTACCATGTGTGCAGGTGGGAATTTAACTGTGCTGTCCTCATCCCGAAACAAGGTATATTGATAATAACCAGCTGGCTTGTCTTGGTGCCAGCTGCTGAGAGGTGGCTGAGGCCTGTTGTCTCTGAGCATGCCAGGCAAGGAGATGCTGCTGCTGTTCCTGCACTGCTGCTGAGGCATTCCCTCCTCACCATGGCTGGCAACGTGCAGTGTGTGGCCTTCAGAGATGTGGCCCAAAGTATTTTCTTCACTTAAGCTTGGGTGGACTCAGATGAACTCTGAATTCCATTGGAAGGGGGGCACTTGTCCCTGCTCATCCCAGGAAATTGCCCAGGAGGAGAGATTTGAGGACGAAAGTGAAGAGATGTGGATGTGGGACTTGTTGCAAAGGACAGCTATCTAGGTGCTGATCCTCCAAAATCCAGCACTTTGCTATTGCCTGGGTGCTTGAGGGATTTCCAAAGGAAGTGATGCTGTTCCTGTTACCCAGCTTGTTTAATCCTGTGCTGAGGAAAGCTGTAGTGAAAATACTGTAGGAAGCATCATGACAAACTGTTGGATTAGGTAAACTAATAGGCATTGTCCAGCTCTGACTTACTCTCTTAGGCTCTTGTAGTGCAGCCGCAAGCCTAAGGGTGGTGTTTGTGAGCAGTGCAGTGTCACCAGTAATGTACAGGCCTGACTGACAAAGCTGGTAATCTCTTTAATACTTGTAATTATTCCCTACTTAAACTGATTTTTAAAAAGGGAATGCTCATTAAAGTCCGGCCTGTTCTGCACTGTGGAGAGGGAATTAGCTGCAGTGGAAATTCATCTGAGCAGACAGGTGTCCTGTGCCAGCAGAGGCTCCTCAGGGATGGTGCTGTGTTGCTGGAGCTGTCCCCAGGGCCGGGGACACGGCTGCTGTGGGGTGGCTGCAGGGTGGCTCCTGGGGCATGGCAGGGCAGGGGCCGGGGTTGGCCTCGTGCTCCCGGGGGTGCTGCAGGGCAGAGATCAGAGAGGCTCCTGTGGTCCCGAGGCTGGGGTGCAGCGTGGCAGGTGGGGTCGGGAGGGGGTGGACAGCCCAAAGCCTGGGTTGGACCTTGCTAAGCTGCCATTGCATTTGAGCGTTCATGGCCTCCGAAACAGATGCTTACCTCTAACTGAACTTATCCTTGCTTAATCTTTTCTTTTTTTCCCCACTCTGCTGCTTTTTTGTGTTCTCAGAGGAAGGAGGAATGCGCGAACGAGAAATCAGGTATTTACTGCAGGCCCGTCTGTGGGACGGAGCAGATGAACAGAGAGCTGCAGCCATACTCTGCCGGAGAGAACAACCCCACACAGCCCCTCAGGAACATACACATCCTCTTAGGCACTCAGACACAGCTCACATCTCACTTTGAGCTCCTTCCATGAGGGGCCAGGAGAGAAGTGGCTTTGAAACAAAAACCAGAGCTCATCACAGGTTCAAGCACAGGCAGTTTGTTTCACACACGGTGGTGTTTTGGTGTTTTCTTTAGAATCTACTGATAATAACTCTTTCTTTAGGTGGAAATATTGTTGTAAGCTCTGTTACTGGAAGCTTATTTCATCAGACAGGTATAGCACAAGTTTTTTTTGCTCAGCATTACACCTTTGAAATGGAATAGCTGTGATCCCATTGCATCAGCCTCCTGTCTCAGCCGGATAGTGAGCAGCAGTCTCTCACACACATTGGAGAGAGCTTGCTCTGTGCATAGCTGACTGCACATAGTATGTCCAGCACTTTTTGATGGCTTGGTGTCTGTAACGCTTCCTTTTCTTGCCTATCCTCTTACTAAACTCAATGGCACTGATTTTCAAGTCTCTGTTTTTGCAGACTTTAATGCATTTTTTATCAATAAGCTAGTAATTTTTTACTCTTTCCTTTCATGAAGGACTCGGGACAGGCTATCCCACTCGTAGTAGAAAGCTGCATTCGTTACATCAATTTGTATGGTAAGTTAATTCAGTAATACCCAGAGAACCTTTCTGGAAAGGAATGAAATGCTTGTAGTTAGCAGTGAGATACAGCAGAGGTGCCCACAGCCCTCGCTGCAGCGTTCAGGTTACAGTTACAATGGCATCGACTGTGGAGTAGCATTTGGATGACTGACAAATACTTAGGTCTTGTAATGATTTATTCAGGTTAGATTGTTCACTCACACCCCAGGTCATCAGGAGCCTTTTAATGCTTTGACCCGGGGCCCTTGGTTGGAGAATGTGAGCAGAAAATAATTGTAGTAGGCTGTCCCCTCCCTACTCTCGGAGCCTTTCTTTCCGGGCATGTGGACTCCCAGTTTCTGCTGGTCTTTACCAGAAAGCACTGTGGAACAGCTGCCCCAGACTTTATAAAGTGTGGTTCCTTTCCAGGCCTCCAGCAGCAGGGCATTTTCCGGGTTCCTGGCTCCCAGGTGGAAGTCAACGACATCAAGAATTCCTTTGAGAGAGGTGGGTTTGTTGGGGATCCATCTTCCTCCTTCCTGCAGCCATTTGTCAGGGAGGAGCATCATTTCCACCTGTACCTGGTGGCAGTGTTGGTTGTGGAGTTGGCAGTAGTTCTGTTGGGAAAAGCACACTGGGGATGTAAGGCTGGCAAGGCAGGGCAGTCCTGCTGTTACTGAGGGAAGGTGATGCTGTGAAAGGGACAGGCTCGATGGGGTTGATGGCCTCCATAGCATTAACCTTGAGCAGCGTGGAAGGGTCAGGGTGGATGTGGCCAGGCCAATGAATAGGGTAGTGGTGAGATTGTGAAAGGCTTGGAGGACTTGCACATCTAGTTTAAGAGGAATTGGTATCCCAATCCCTTGGGTTTTGAAAGCCTTTTATAGATACAAGTCAGTACAGTGCCATCCAGAGCTGCTTGGTCTGTTCCAGGGCCATAATTGCATCCTCCAGCTAAGCCTGTCCCCTCAGGCTTTCACCCACCATCCTTTAGATCTGCTCAGCTCTCTGAGCTCTTGCCTTAAATGCAAAAATGCACTGGGCTGGAAACTCTGAAGGAAAACCGATTAATAACATCCTCATTTTCAGGCCAAGTTTAAAATCTCCACAATAAACTAGGGTTTTGTGGGTAGGGCTCTAGGATGTCTCAGCGTGATGCTGTGTTGCTGCCTTAGTGAACTCTCCTCTTGCTGGCAAATGCTCAGCATTGCACTTCCACACACAGGGGGGTTCTGAATGGGGGGAAATTTTGATGTATAGAAAACACTTGTTGCATTAGTCCAACTTGATAGTAGTGCTGGAAATAAAGACTCCTCTCTGGGCAGGTGAAGATCCCCTTGCTGATGATCAAAATGAACGTGACATAAATTCAGTGGCTGGAGTCTTGAAGCTGTATTTCCGAGGACTGGAAAACCCCCTCTTTCCTAAGGAAAGGTTTCAAGATTTGATATCTACTATAAGTAAGTACATGTGACATCTCTTCTTGGAGAATAGGGTGGGACAAGAGAAGTAGTAAAAAGTACTTTGGGATGTGAGCAGAGGGGGAAGCTGAGGGTTTTAATCATGAAAGGTCTGGGCTTGACGTCAGGTTGCTTCTTCTTCTGTCCTGCATTCTCCTCTCAGCTCCACTTGTTCCTCTGCAACTGAAGAAACAGATATCCCAGCTGGGGCTTATTTCTCTCAGTAGCTTGTGGTGATGACATTTATTTATTGGCATGTCATGGGAATGAGTCCCCTGGGGGGAAGGAAGAAGGCAGAATGAATTTGATGTTTTGGAGATGATGGAGGAGTGAGTTGTGCTCTTTGGCCGCAGGATGATTTGATTTCACAGGAGAGGTGTCAGGGTCGTTTGAGGGTTCACGGGTACCTGGGTTGCTGGCTGGTGAACATGTGCTGAAGTTCTTCATCTGGCATTCCATGGCTCCTTCCCCCTCCTTGATGTTAATGTGCATAACTGCTAGAGATTTAGGGATGTCAGGAAAGACAGATGCTGTCTAGAGGGGAATAATGCAGAGATGGGCTTGTTCCAGAACGAGAGGAATTTCCTCTTGTTTTTCAAGAACAGTTGTTTTAGATAGTATCTTTAGGAATTCCACTATTGCCTTTCAGTTTTGAGGTGTAACACTGCAGCAGCACCCCTGTGACATGGTGAGACAAGGGGCTGCTCCTGCCCCAGGGTCATGCCCCAGACAGGGAGCTGGAGCCTGGGTGGCAGAGCTGGCTCTGGCTGCCCCCTGGGTGTGCAGCCTGCAGGGTGGGACAGTCTCCTCCTGTGCCAGGAGGTATGCCTGGAGCTTGGTGATGTGACTGTGTGCTGGCAGATAAGCTTGTGCTTTGGAACCATTCTTAATGCCAATTTGTGCAATTTATTAAGCTTTTGGGAGCTTTTCATTGCAAACATCATCTGTTAATTTTCTGGATAGTATTCTCATTTTTTCTCATTTTATGAGAAGTGCATCTGCTTTTCTGCGACACAGACACAGGCTGTGTAATAGGTGTGCTGACTGCACAGGTACAGAACCCTCAGCCTTTGGAAACCAGTGCTCAGTGAAATGTCTCCCTTGCTGTAGGGTGTTCTGCCCCGTGTTGTGATAACAGTGAAAGGTTAAAGGCAGCTGGTTTGGTGCAGGGCATCATGGAGCCACCTGGACTTCCCCTGCCTCTGGGAAGGTGTTTGGAGCCCATGCTCTGCAGCAGGGGCTGCTGGGCAGGTCCTGGGCCCACAAAGTGTCTCCTCCCCTTGCTGCCATGGGGCAGCCTGGCTTCCTGGGCACAGGGGAGAGCTTGGCTTTACTTTTACCTTTGGGGACTGAGAGTTTACATGGACATGTTTCTCAAATGCACATGAAAAGTAGATGGGGAGAAAAGGCACTTTGTTTGCAAAGGTTCACTCAGGGCTGTGCCTGTATTGTCAAGTGATTGATGATTACTCCAATAATTCATCCTGTTTACAGCCAGTTGAAACATTTCTGCTAAGTAAAACAAGGCAAGTGCTTCAAGACTGCTTGTTCCTCTGGGTTTCAGAAGAGAATCTATTATTGTAAGTTTTTATCCAGTTCTTATTTGCAGAAGTAGAGAACTCAGTCAGCAATGACAGGGGATAAGTAGTTTCCTCAAAAGGAAAGATTTCCAAAGCAAAATATTACAAAGATTTCCATCTTTGGACTGAAGCCAAATTCTGCTCAGAATTTTTGAACAAATGGCAGCCCAGCTACATGTTGTCAGTGAATTTTATGGTGATTAGCAAATGTTAAAGTTTGAGCCACTGTAATGAAGTAAGTACCTCTGCACTGATGTGGCTTATTCCATGCATCTGAGGCTGACTGCTCTCAGGAAAGCCCTGGTTCTCTGACTTCTTTCTGTGAAACAAAACCCCCAGGATTAACCATCTACATAATGTATTGAGCAGACAGGAGGTTAAAAGAGTGCCTTTGGGGCTGGACCGTGGTACCACCTGCTGTGGGAGTGGTGCTGAGCCCCCTTGGTAGGTGTCTGGGGCATCATCCCTGTGGGCAGGGCTGGGATCCCCAAGCGAGGAATCTGGCTCTGAGAGACCACAGCTCTAAGGCACCCTCCTTCCTACAGAAGGAAGCTGGTTTCTGGGAGCAGCTGTGGGCTTTGTGTGCTGATGAGAAGAGGAGTGGGTCTCAAACTGCTGCCTCAGACCCGGTTCAGATTCTCTGCCAGACCAGTGGATCAGATCTGGAAACAGGCTGTTGTTTTCCTTGCCTAGTGGGCTACTAAATCTGGAACAGGTCCCTCTGGTGCTGTGTTATCTCTCCTGAGAAGGTATAAGGATGTGCTTTCTGTGTGTTGCAGAAATCGAGAACCCCTCTGAGCGAGTGCACCAGATCCAGCAAATCATCATCACTCTGCCCCGAGCTGTCATCGTTGTCATGAGATACCTGTTTGCTTTCCTTAATCAGTGAGTAATTGTTTTCCCCCTATTTTGCTGAGCTTCTCCTTGCCCTCCTTTTAATTCAAGGCTTCCCTGTCTTAGTTTTATTCATCCTTTTTGGTATTGCCATGGAGAGTTGTGTTTTGCTCCTTCCTCAGCCTTGCCCAGCCGTGGCTGTGTGTTCAGGGAGGTACAGCTCAGCCATTGCTTTCCTGGGCCCTGGGGTGTGTTTCCTGGGGACAAATCTTCCTGAGCAAACGGGGAAGCCAGCACTGCACCTTCCTAATGCTTGTGCCTGCAGCTTGTCACAGTACAGTGATGAGAATATGATGGATCCCTACAACCTGGCCATCTGCTTCGGGCCCACGCTGATGCACATTCCAGACGGGCAGGATCCGGTGTCCTGCCAAGCCCATGTCAATGAGGTCATCAAAACCATCATCATTAACCACGAGGGCATCTTCCCCAGCCACAGAGAGCTGGAAGGACCTGTCTATGAGAAGTGCATGACTGGAGGGGAGGAGTACTGGTAAGGACGGGGTGGGACTCCATGGTGTGCAGGACTTAACCCAGTTAACTGGCTGCATTGCACTGTGTCTTTCTGGTGCATGACTTGCCCTAATTGGTGTAGGCAGGATAGGAAAATTCCATGGACTCCCAGGTTAGAAGTGTAAGTGATATTACATGTTAGCTTGAAGAATGCTGGAATTCTAAACTCCCATTCAGATAGAAGTTTTAACAAACTGGTATTTGTAACAGACTTGAACTAATTTGTGTGCAGATTTTGTACATTTCTGAGGCCTAATCTGCCCTGACACTGATCACCTGCCACCATCCTCACTGAGGCAATTGGAGGGTGAAACACTGAAGCTCATTGTGAGTCAGTGGGTGGAACATTATAGCTTGGTATCACTTTATATTTGTTTTGCCAAATACAAGTAAGATGTTTGAGCAACAGAACGTGATGTTCTGGGCCTGAGGTCGTGGTGCGTGTCTGCCGTTCTCAGAGTTCAGAAATCTGCTGTGATTTCAAATCACTATCTCAGTCTTATAAAAATCAAAACCGTAACTCTTTCATGTGTCACTGGGGCCAGAATGTCCCTCCACTTGTGTGGAGTGCCTGGGGAACAACCTCCTCCTTTCTCTGAAGGCAGGCTGTGTTTCCTTGCAGTGACAGCCCGCACAGCGAGCCGGGCACCATTGACGAGGCCGATCGTGACAATGGCACGGAGCCGCACACCAGCGACGACGGTGAGCCCAGGCAGCCGTGGGGGCAGTGCTGGGAGAGCTGTGCAGGCAGGGGGGCAGCATGCACCCTGCTCCTTGGAGGGTTAGGGGCTGGACTAGTGGCTGGCACAGGGTTTCCGTGTCCTTAGAACTGCACATGGATGTTAATAAGTGTTGGTTATAAGGTTTCCATCAGAGGACGTGCATGGACCTGCACAGTGTCTGACTCCATGGCAGGGTACGGGGTTGGTTTTTTGGAGCTGTTTTATGAGATACTATTAATCTCACTTATGACCTTTTTTCCCTTTTCCTTGTCATCTGTGCTTACACGAGGTCATGGTGTGTGAAATGGCTCATGAGAACAGGAAGGGAGATGGACTAATGTGAGGGGGCAGACTCTGTTCATCTGGTTCCTTGGATGCACAGTGGGAAGGACAGTGGACATCAGTGGCCCCAGTAGGGGCCCTCCACGCAAGGGGTCTTCCAGTGGATTTCATTATGCTGTGGGTCATGCCCTGCTGAGCAGCCATCTCCTTGGCAGAAGCCTGCTCTCAGCTGCAAACAGGAGCTGACAGGACTAGAAGATGAAGGAGAGAGCAAGCTGCCATTTAGCCAATTTTATGCTTGAGTGGCCACATTAATAGCTCAGATTGGAGTTTCTGGGTGATTAACTGTGGTGCAAGTGTGGCGAAGAGGAGCAGCTTTACTTCCTGAATGTACATATTCCTTCTTTGCCTCTCCCTCGTCCCATGCACCCTCCCTGCTGGGAAACTTGGCATTTTATCAGGGCAGTGAGAGCTCTTACCCTCCCTGCTACCTCTCCTCCAGAGCATCCCCTGTTGCTGGTGCTGCAGAGCTCCCTGGCAGTGTGCTGCTGCTGTGGGCTCCTCTTTGGGTGCACCTGCAGCTCCCAGGGTGTTGCCCTTGGCCAAGGCCTCAGAGGTTCCTGGTGTGCACACAACCTCCCACGGTGAAGTCCTGCCTCAGCCCTCTTGGATTTCAGGCCCTGAGCTCCCCATTTGTGAATCCCTGGTGTTTGGTAGAGCTGGAATTAGAAAAAGGGGAGAAGAGGTGAGGTGGTGTGCTGGAAGGTCTGCAGATAGGGGCAGTGAGGCAGAGCAGCTGCCTGGCCAGAGCTCCTATCATCCCTTCTGTGGGGATCCCCAAAGGGGGATTCTTTACTCATCAATAATTCAGGCCAAACCGTCTCCAGGGTAAGGCAAGGAAGAGACAGTAAGTGGGGCTTTGATCACAGTGTCTGACATAGCTTGACAGGATCCCAGACTGGAAGATAACCGGGTTCTGTAACTGAAGACATCACCTCATAGATGGAAAACGAGAATGTGGGTGATGATGCCACATGCATGCAGGGAAATTTCAGTTACTTCCTGTCTGGTTTGTAGCTTTTTGTAGTTGCTGGTAGTTTGTGAGTCTGTGAGGAATTCCAGAAAGGCTGGAAGACCAAAAAGAATTGATCAGTCTAAAAATAAGCTGGTTTGTCCTCAGTGTAAGGTGCTCTGGGGAAGCTAAGGCAGCAGCATGAGTGCTGTTCTGGTGAGATGCCCCTTTCTAGGATTGATTGTGCCCTTGAGATTGTTGAGCTGAACTTTTCTCTATCTGTCCTTTGCAGAAGTGGAGCAGATTGAAGCCATAGCAAAGTTTGACTACATTGGACGATCTCCACGAGAGCTTTCCTTCAAGAAAGGGGCCTCACTCCTCCTGTACCATCGGGCATCAGAAGACTGGTGGGAAGGGAGACACAATGGTGTGGATGGCCTCATACCCCACCAGTACATTGTGGTGCAAGACATGTGAGTAAAGTGGTGTATGTTGGTCCAGGATGTTAAAATCACATACCTACACAAGGTCCACGTTAGCCACCTAAAACAGGTGATCTGATTTTCCCAGGTTTAATGACTTTGGTGAGAAATCTGGACCTGTTCACATTTGCCTCTCCTTGCATTGCTCCAATGGTTTCTCGTTCAAGCCCTAAGTGCTGCACTCCAGTGTGCCCGACTCTGTCTGTCACTGACTGCTCCAAGTGCATGGCCCAGGCTTAGCATTGGCCATGGCCCCTGTGTACGTGGACCTGGTGTTGCTCAGTGCCCACTAGGCCTGTGGGCAGATCTCAGGGTCCTCTGCACATGCCACTTCTGTTACAATTACTGCACCTGGATCCATTCAAATGGCAAATGCAGTGTGGGAGAATACAGAGATGTGATGTTTGCTTTTTCCAAGCTCTGGGTGCTGTCTGGAGTTGTGGCCTTGGTCCAGTCCTTTGTTAATAAAACCTAGAGGTGCTGGAGTGATGGTGTTCAGATCCATACTGTGGCTGGGCCCTTCCCTCTCTCCTGGGGCGCAGCCCTGTAGCTGATGGAGGTCTCCTTTTCCTAGGGATGATGCATTCTCTGACAGCCTGAGTCAGAAGGCAGACAGCGAGGCGAGCAGCGGGCCCCTGCTGGATGATAAAGCTTCCTCCAAGAATGACATCCAGTCTCCAACAGATCACATTGTGGACTATGGCTTTGGGGGAGTGTTGGGCAGGTAGGGAAACTCTCCTTTTCCTGTGAACACAGTGGTGGTTGCTGTCGTGTGGGGAGTCAGTGTGTGGTGGCAGGGCAAGACAGAGGGGAAGGCTCCAGTGAGTCATGTGAGCATGGAGGGGGTTTTCATGTGTATTGCTAATGTAGGGCTTAGCAAGGAAGGAAGGTGCAATGCTGTCCCTTTCTTGGCACTGGCTAAAATGTCTGTCTTCCCTCTTGCCTTAGTCTTCTGGAGCCAAAAGGCCTGAGTTTGGTTTGCTCTGAACTCGGGGAGCTGAGCAGTTTTCTCACAGCATGCAACCAGCTGCTTTCGGTCTGACGGACGGTGACCTAGTCTTGTGATGGATTCTTTGCAGAGTGAGATTGAGGTCTGATGGTGCAGCTATCCCTCGCCGCCGCAGCGGGGGGGACACCCACAGCCCGCCCCGAGGGATGGGTCCTGGCATAGACACTCCTCCTCGAGCTGCAGCCTGCCCTAGCAGCCCCCACAAAATACCTCTTAACAGGGGCAGGATTGAGAGTCCTGAAAAGCGCAGACTGGCGACATTCGGCAGTGCAGGCAGCATCAATTTCCCAGACAGGAAGGCCTTGTCTGATGGGCACCCGCTGAGATCAACCTGTGGATCGACTAGACACAGTAGTCTTGGAGATCAGAAATCTCTAGAAGCAGAAGCACTTGCTGAGGTAAGAGGGTTGTGAAGTGGCTCTTGGTGCCCAGGGACTGAGAGGCTGGAAAACACGGGTCCCTTGGGCAGCACCATGGAGCCCCTTCTGTCTCAACACACTTCACAATTACAGTGCTGTTGTAGCTGCGGCAGTTTAAAGACAAAAATGAGCAGCCAACAGCTCCCCTGCTTTCCCAACCACATCAGTTGGTCTAATAAAAGCTGTTTTCTCCCTCTACAAAACTTGTGTCTATGAAACCATAGACAGAAATGTTCGATCCACCACTGAAATGTGCTGGCAGCTCCTATGTCCCACAGGGAGGGAAGCACATTATCTTCATCTGACACTCCATAAGGAGCTTAGCAGGAGAACACTGGATTTGCCAAATCAGAATTTGACTGATGTTCAGTGTTTGGAGAAAAGTGCTTCAGGTCTGTTACTGGCTATTTGTAGCTGGGGCCTCCAAGTGTTAGTCTAGTCCCAGTATGACACCTCCAGCCACGCAATCATCAGGCTGTCAGTTCCATGGGGCTTCTTAAATTCATGTTGCCTCCAGCACAGCCTGCAGGTCTCCTCTCCCCACTGCTGGCAGGAGGTCCCTGGCCAGGTATCAGTCAGGCTACACCAGACCTGTTAACATCTCAGAGAATGGTCCCTTCATGGAGCTGGCTGTAGAATTCTCCAGCTCCCTGGGGATCATGGAGTTCAGGTAGTGTGGAGGTGTCCCAGTGGCCACAGGTTGGGCTGTTCTGGGGCCTGGGGCTGGGAGTTCTGTGGACAGGCTGCATTGCAGAGGTTTCCAGGTGGTTTGCTTCATGCCACAATCAGGCAGGATCAGCAGCTGTGGGACAGCTGGGGTTGCCCAGCTGGGACACCCCAGTGCCCCAGGGTTTGACAGGCTGTTACATGTCAAATCAGCTGCTTTCAGCAAGGTAATTAACAATGATTGCAGAAGGGAGGAACTCTTACTGTCCTGTTTGCTTTCCCACCAGCCACGCTCCTTGTTCTCTTGCTCTGCAGCACGCTGCCCAGCTTCTCTGTCCGTCAACAGCTTGTGTTTGGTGTAAGCAGTGACAAAGTTGTGGTGGTAGCACAGTGTGTGCCCTGAGCAGGGCACCCTCTCTGCCTGGGCATGGGGCAGCAGCATCCAGGGAGTCCCCAGGCTCAGCCAGGCTGCAGCATGGCACCCACAGCCATGCCCAGGGCCACCTTCTCCTGGTGCAGGGCAGGGCCGTGAGTCTGGAGCCTCCAGTGGGACCGGGGAATGCTGAGTGTGGCGCATGAGAGGCACAGTTCCCTTGGGTGGGTGTTTTTAAACTTTGAAGAAGATTCTCATTCAGCAGATGTAAATACTTACCTCGAAGTCAGTAGGACTGCTGGACTTGGTAGTCCAGAGGCTTAGCTCTGGGAGAGTATTTTCACTCATTATCTAAACAGCTTAGTAGAATTAATTGGCGTTAACTTGACAATTATTTCCCTGCTCCTGATCCTCTGAACATTCTCTGAGGCTCACTGAGCATTTTGTACACATTATAAAATGAAGGACTCGTCTACACATGGATATCAAGGAGAGTTAACCAGAGCTACTTTTTAAACAATTAATTCAGTTGCCTTAAACCAGTTTTCAGGTGGCCCCTTGCTGAGCAGTGGCCTTACCTCAGGTAAGATGGATTTGAGTGAAGCCAAACCAGGGCCTCTATTTCCGAGTGAGACAATCAGCACTGAGTTGTAGGCTATTGAGCTAACTTACTTGAAATGGGCACTTCCAATTGGACTGGGGTCACCCTCTGGAGGATCTCCATGGACAGACCCATGGAAGCCAGGCCTAGAGACACAACCCAGGGTGGGCAGGTGGTGAAGGGCTGGGGCAGCCTCCCCTTGGCCACCTGCCCTGTGCAGGGAGAGGCCTGGTCACTGCCTGTTATTTACCTTGAGCTGCCATTGTGCTGCTCGTTACATCTATATCCTGCTGCCTTTCCACCCCACACGTGTAGGCACAGGGGCAGCAGAGATCCTGTACGTCTGCTGGAGGCTGCAGGGCGTCCTTTTTTTGGGAAAAGCCAGCCTCTGTGCTGCGGGGAGTGCCCTGTCTGGGTGGAAATGCGGACAGGCTGATGTTTACCCCGCTAGCTGTGGTGCTCGGGGTTTGCTCTCTGAGAGCAAACTCCTGTTGATGTGAGAGGCACAGGGCACTTTTGTGCGGCCACAATTGGGGCTTAAAATCTTCTCCTAAAGCTCCAGCTTTGCCTGGAGGCTTCGCCTCAGGTCAGAGGACCCCGCAGACACAGAGGGCGGGGTGATGCTGTGGCACGGGACTGACATCCCTTTGGTGGTGGCGTTTGCAGGACATCGAGAAGACCATGAACACGGCGCTGAACGAGCTACGGGAGCTGGAGAGGCAGAACACAGCCAAGCAGGCCCCCGACGTGGTCCTGGACACGCTGGAACCCTTGAAGAACCCCCCGATGGGCGCCGCCAACTCGGAGCCCGCCAGCCCCCTGCACA